CTTGTGTACAATAAAGGGTCAAGTTAAGTGATTTTACAGTCACAATATATGACCATTCATAGAACATAGACTATATACCAATTATGTAACTCTAACAAATCAAATCATAGTGGGGGCACCTTATAACAAATCAATATATATCTACCTATCTATATAAAAAAATAAAAATGTTCCTATACATAATTCACAACCACACAATTTTGGACGGTCAATATACAAAAACATAAAAATTGCAAAAGAAACTTTGTTGAAAAAGTGGTTTTATTAAGATTCTATATATGTAACATTAGAAAGAAATGGAAGGGTCTAGCTCAAAGATCGTGATGGAGCGTTAAACATCTTTTTATTCTTATTTAAAAGTTTCAAGTTCGAGTTTTGATTATGGACTCATTTTTGATAAAGAACATTTTACCCTTAAAGTGATACTTTTCAAAGCGACTTTAGATTAATTGAGCCTCAAATAGGCATATCGAACATTGAGTGAAACCAAATAAATAAATAGAAGTGTAGGGGCCATTCTTTTTTTCCCCACTAGAATAATAATCAAATTTGACCACGTTTGGAAATGTTTGGTTCTATCTAGTATTCATTTTTCTTGTCTCCACTTTGATTTAGTCATTTATGTATATCAAGAAATGATGAATTGTTGTGTTGCTTCTTTATGGGATTTTGCCTAATTTAATGCATTATTGTATCTACTTGTCTCCCATAGTCAATCAATCTAAGGAAATAAACTTTTGGGATTGGCTTGTTTGTTCTTTCGATTTCGAGGGTCTTCTTAAATAATTATACCCATTTTGAAGGTATCAAATAGACTCCATCATTGATCTAAATCTATATATCTCCCTTTAATATAAGATTTGGACTTATAACAATAGTCAGATGAATTCATTATTTACTTTTCCTACCTAGTATGCATAGATTATACATTAATGATACGTATATTATCTGTTTGCCGGTTAATTTTAGTTTAACCAATCGAATTGATGGTTATTTAAATTACTCTTCTAGAAGAAAATACAAGTACGTAAGGACGTTTTCCCATTAATGGACCTTACATAAAACGAATACCGAACTGAAAAATCAAAAGAAAAGAGTTGTCTCTAAAAATTCTTTTGGGCCTAATCTAGCTTCCATTAATGTAACTCGGCCCAAGCCCATGTATAGCCCAATTTGGATGTTCCATTAAAGTTTGAAACACATTATTTATGTGATTTTTTTGTTCTTTATTATACTTTTGGTGAAGCTTAGTGGAAGGGAATAAAATTTAGGAAAATTAATAGGTGTATCATATTCAACTTTCTTATAATTATTTTTACTAGTAGTATGTTTAAATAATTATGAAATATAGTGAGATTGCGTATTTTATAAACACTTATACATATATCTATGTATCTAAAAATCGTAGTCCCCACAATCCATCCCAACCTCAGTTGTTTGTTGTCACCAAAGTTCGTTGGTTATTTAATTGACCGGTGAAAAATTAATGTTGCTTCAATAAAGATCATGCACATACAGTTTGGATACACATATGTTGGGTCAATACATACAATCGATGTACTCACATACATACACACACATATAATATATATTGCGAAAAACAGACGCTAAATAACACTATTTATATAGATCCCAACCTTCTTTTTATTTATACAAACAAAGGAAAAAACTTCAACATAAAAATTACACAACACTATCCACTACAACATTATTAGACAAAAGCAAAGAACATTATTAAAGTCTATTAATTATTAGTACCATATATATTCACTACGTAAAACCATGAAGGTTTACTATTATTATTCCCACTTACGTACCACCCCTTAAATTAAAATACGCATAGTAACATGCAAACATATATATATATATATATATATATATATATATATATATATACATTAATTATAATAAGTTATTAGCTTTGGTTAAGATCTTGTATTAGTTACGAGTTCTGCAGAATTCAATCTGTATGATCATGTCCTCGTTCCGATAGGATTAACACCCCCGTCACCATTGTTGAATTCTTGCCTAGGTATATAATGGTGATTATCGACACTTCTACTTTCTCCCTGCGAAAAAACCTTACTATCGTCTTTGTTATTCTCGATTAGATTCCTACTCGTGGCAAAGCTAGAAGTCGTCGTCAACACCAACATGACTAACACAACCACCATAATGAACCTCATAATTTTAATTTTTGGCCCTGTGAATCAAGAACGATAAATTTAGTCATTGAATATGTAACTACAAACGTGACTTGGTGCTTTCTAGTAAAATATATGTAAAAGAACATGATTGTTGACAACTTTCAAAATAACAAAAAGAGTTATGAATGGTGTGTGTCTATTATGGAGAAAAACATAAAAATATTTTCTTTCGTACCAAACAGTACACCCTAAGGCTTATGGATCAACAACACACTGGCTAAGAAAAAGAACGTAAAAGAATATTATGCCTTTTAAATTGCATGTCAACCTAAGCACGAGAATTTTGTACCATCTTGTGGAAGTAGTCAAGTAGAAGTAGAAAAAGGAATAAATATGCTGTCAGAACAACTGAAATAAAGATAAAAGAAATATCATTAATCTGTTCGTGTTCGTTTCAACCTTGAAGTATTATTTGTATAGATAAGAATCCCCATATATAATATATACTATCTAATAAATGCTATGAAATTTAAACATACCTGGATAGTTAAAGACAAGAAGAACTAGAGGAAATTTGAAGTTAATTTGTGTGATATATTATGAAATTTTCTACATTGTTTATATAGTAAGTGAATCTAGTGAACATGTAATTTAATTACTATTCATGTTAATTATTTAATTAAGAAATGGGAACTCCACCAAATGAGGCAAATACAAGTGGGATTGCCATTTTAGACAAATAAATGATGGATCTTTTTACTTTTTTGTTCTCATCTAGTGTTTAATACTTGTTTTGGAGCTCGTTTAATTCAGATTTATGTCGGAAAGTCTCTCTTTAAGGGGTATAACACACTCTATCAAAGACTATCTAATACCTAAATCTCAAATCTGAGACATCTGATTAAAGATAAATAAATATTTATCACCTTACCACAATTTTTAATGATAAATGATGGACTTTAAGGAAATGTTAACCCCACAATAATGTAAGTGGTATTTATGATCAACCAAAAAGTCAACCAGTAATAGTTTAATTACTGTATTACTACATGCCTAATTATTAGCATAATCTCTGATGTTTCTTTTGGGATTTATCTGTATCTATGTTGTAATTTAATCCCTTTTTTAGACAAGTTTAAATTATATATATCATTAGTATAAAAAAAAGGAAAGATCATACTAGCAAATCATTCAAAGATTATTTATAAATAAACCTTCTTAAAATGTAGAATCCGTAATTTCAAAAATAAGACTATCTAGTAACCTTTTATGAGACTACAATTGATAAATGACCCGATGATGTAAGAAATTTATTTTTGGACATATGGAACTTGACATGATTAAAATTGACCATATTGAAATGCATAGTAATTTGCACTTTGCCAAGTTGATCAATACATCATGCATCAACATGGATTGTAGACACTTGTGATGGAATGGTTGGCTAAGTTGTTTGGATTCTCTAAAATTATTATCGTATTCGTGTTGAATTCTCAAAAAAATACATTATTTTTGAAGGATTTGTCTGACACACGCATGTCGTCTACATTTTTTAAAAGTTCAAACAACTTAGATAATTAAGATTTGTCCATCCTTAATAAGAGATATTGGATTTGATCCTTACCTAATTGAGAATAGAAAAAGTCACGTTGTCTGTTGGAAGTGTTGCCATTGAAAATAGGCCTTGCAATGCACGAATACGAATAAATCAAACTTTAATGCGTATACCATACGCAAATACTCATCATGCTTTTCCATTGCTAATTTGAATTGAAATGTGGAATCCATTTTGGCAACTAGATGTTTCTATTTTGCCTTTTGATGAGTTTTAAACTTGAAATATAACTTAGACAAGAAAAGATCTAAGTAACTATATGTGCTCTTCCTATTTCAACCACTTTTATCAGGAGTTAATTACATAAACATCATCTAAATTATGAAAAAAATAATTGTTTGCTAAGAAAAAGAATAAAATATGAGTGATTTTATTATTTTAAAAAAACATAATTTTACTATGTAATTTTTATAGTTCAGGTAATCACATGAATAACTGTATTAATTTTTACTCCAAAAACATTCCTGAAATCCTAAATTTTATGCTCGCCTTTTACTTGTCCTTCAACTCAAATAACTTTTTTTACTAGACATAAATTTATATTTTTGCATCATTATATTCTACAAGATATATACACACTCTTTTTTTTTTTTAAAAAACTTATGCTAGTTCGATTTTTAAAGATAAAAATTTAAAGACCGTCTCATTTAAAAAGGGGGAATTTACGCAAATAGCCATTATAATAAACTTAATTATACTCCATAGCTATACTTTGCATATTTACGGGTTGTAGCTAAAGTTTAAGCTGCCTCGTTTGTATAAATCGCGGGTAAGTTTGTATAATTGAATTATTTTTGTATAAACTCGAAATAAAGAATTTTTAATCTAAACTTTATACAGTTATAGAAATTATAGTATACAAAATTACATTATACAAAAGTTATACAAATTTCGAATTATACAAATGTGCAAATTATAAAACTCGAAACTCCATCCCATGTAATTATCAGTGAATGTTGGTCGTGAGTGATAATTAACTAAAACTATAGCTAAGATAATTGATTAACTAGTACAATATATGTTTACTTAACCATGTAAGTTTCCCTTTAAAAAGATCAATAGTATAATAATTAAGTGAAAGTTTCGGTAAAATATAGGCCCAATCAAAAGTTTTAACCTAATGGATCGGATTAGCCCAATTTAAATTGGGCTGGGCCTATCCAACAATACAAGTCCACAAAGTCCATTTCCACTCAACCCGAACCGGAAAAATATACATAAGAACAGAATTTTCATCAAATTAGCCGCTGAAATCAATTTGTTGAAGACGAAGAAGGAAGAAGAAAGATGAATGCTCCAGATCGTTACGAACGATTCGTTGTTCCAGAAGGCGTTAAGAAGTATGGCATTTTTCTGATATTTTTATGCAATTTTCTCAATTTTTTTTACGAATCGAGCAACAATTTACACTTCATTTGGAAAATTTTGATTAGGGTTTCGTATGAGAGGGATACGAAGATCATGAATGCAGCTACATTTACTGTTGAAAGAGAGGACCATACAATCGGGAACATTGTTCGCATGTAAACACACTGATTGTGTTCTTCTAATTTCTGTCAGTTTTCGTCGAATTTGGAATACCCTTTTGGTAAAGAACTGATTTTTTTTTGGTTATATGAATATGATTAACAGGCAACTACATAGGGATGATAATGTTCTGTTTGCTGGGTACAAGTTGCCTCATCCTCTTCAGTACAAAATCCTGCTTCGGGTTAGTTTCTCGGGTTTTGTGATTGTTTCCTCACTTTTTTGTGTTTTTCTTTTGCTTCTATGTATAATTGTGCCCAAGGGTGTGGGTTTTGCGGGTGGGAGGTAGTAGGTACTTTTGAGTATGCACTTCTAGACACCTTAAAGTAGGTACTTTTGAGTATGCACTTCTAGGCACCTCAACTTGCGTCGCCAATGTGTAAGTTGAACACTATAACTTACAAAATGAACATCTAAACACCTCCAAAATTTATGTGTCACATCAGTGTCAGGTGTTCATAAGACACAGTGAACGAGTTAGAGTGCTTAGTTGTTAGTTGAGACCAACTTGAGGTGTCTAGATGTGCACTCCCGAAGTTGGAGTGCTTACTTGCCAGTTGAGGCCAAGTTCGGGGTGGCCTAGTGGTTTGGGCTTGGGACTTCCATGTTGGAGGTCTCAAGTTCGAAACCCCTTGCCAGCGGAAGCAAGGGGTTTGCCTTCTGGGTCGAGCTCGTTGCACCGGGCTTGCCTAGTGCGGGTTACCTCTCCTATGTGGTTTGCGAGCTATTGCATAGGAGCGGGGGTTTTACCCTGTGCCCACCCAAAGGGTAGCGGCTGTGGGTTTCCCTTGTCATCAAAAAAAAAAAAAAGGTTGTTAGTCTGCGGCCCTGTTGGTTGCATTTTCATTTTTTAGTTTTATTGTAGTTTTTGTTAGTCGCTTCTGATTTGTTAGCGCTTCATTTTTGTAATGAAGTAAGGGAATTACATGAAATAGCATATCGGGGATGCAGAAAGTACATTAGAGTGAGCTCCATTGCAAGGTATTACTAGACAAGTTCTAAGGAAAAGGTTTAAACGACACCTAGGTTTTAGAGAGTTTATTGGAGTTGAAATTCCATCAGAACATCAATGCTCCTCTGTGGCTAAATACTCCAAAATATGCATGCAGTGATTGCCAAATATTCTTGATGGATTTTCCAGGGCATGCCCAGTGAACCCAAACAATGGACAAAAATAAATTCAACATCTTTTAAGTTACCAGTTTCAAAAAAAATATAAATAATTCAAAATGTCTTTTGCAATTCTGAAGTGATGAAATAGATAACAGATAGTTTCAGATTATGATGGCACATGTTGAATCTGTTACTTAATGTAAATCCTCTTGCAGAGGTTATCTTTTGCTAGGCATGCTTCCAGTAATACTGTCCAGGTGAAGGAAGCTAGCTACCTTTGGTGGATCCGTTGTCCTCCAAATAAGCTTCTAAGGACAATTTTCGAACATCCCAAGGCTGTATTTTCTTCGGGGATGTAGGAAGAGTAGAATCTTTATTTGGATTGTAATATTCAATTGTGAATATTCTGTGTTCAGGGATGGTGTATATCGTGAAAGGCTTGCTTCTTGAGCAATCATGTCTTTTCACATTATTGTTCCTACTATATTTCTTGTAGACTTATACATAATTTCTTTACAAAGTGTTAATAATTTGTCCATTGGATACTATGGTGTGTCACTGCAACCTGGCTTGTTTATGCAGTTTGATCGCTCTGGATTTGACTTATTGCTTTGTTTGGTTTGCAGATCCAAACAACAAGCCAGTCCTCACCTATGCAGGCATATAACCAGGCTATTAATGATCTTGACAAGGAACTTGATCATCTGAAGAGTCAGTTCGAGGTACAGTTATCTTTTAATTTTTAGTCTAGCTTGTTTCAAGTAAACTGTTTATGTGCTATCATATGTTGCTAGAGTTGGTGCATGCATCATTTTGGCTTTGAATTTCAAGATGTTCAGTAATGTTTGGTTGTTATAAGAAGAAAAAAAAATCAAAAGAGTTCAAATGTATTAGGAAGTTGTATATATTTGGAAAATTTAAAAGGACAATAAGCTCTTATAATATCTCCCTCGAACTTGACCCTGATTTAAAAGCTGATATCAGAGAATGTAAAGTGATGCCTTATCTTCCATAGTTCCTTTACACATCTAGGTCCTATGACATTTTTCCTGGTTTGAACAAATCATGATGATACAGCCTGAAACTCCTTAATATTTCCTTTCCTTTTCATGCACCGACATGCCCAAGTTTAACCTCGCCATGATATTTCCTTTTCACCTCCTAATGATCCTAAATGTCAAGCTAATCCGTCTTTAGGATTGACCATTTTTTGGATTATGTCAGCTCACTAGTACTTGCCTAGATTGTAGAAGCCCAAACTGTCATTATCTTCTTTTGTGATTGTAGTTTTGTATTTTGCACCTTGATGCCATTAATGATATTTTAAATTCATCAAAATAGAAAAAAACACCAGTTACTATTATGTTATTTCCCCATTGCTACTGAAGGAGGATCTGCTTGTTTGCTATCAGTGAACTCACTCTAGAAGCTCCTCAATTACACCCTGGGAAAAGCCCTGTAGGTCTTGAAACTTTGAGAACTGAACAGCAGTGGTGACATGGGTTGGGTTGCTCTAGCATCACTTGCTTTACTTTGGTCATCGATGTCATAGGAAAGACAACCTGTACTTATAGACTTCATTACAGAACTTATGTGAAGGTTAAAATGATGAACAGCGAGAATGTGAAAAGTCTCTTTGTTCACCTCCTTTTTCGTTTTCTAGAACATTTAACTTTGAGAATCTTCAAACTCTAGCCATATGAATGGGAAGATTGAACAAAACAACCATTTTATCTATGGATCCACCATGACAACAGTTAGACCGGAAAGAGTTTATTGAATCTAGTCACAGAAGAGAGGTGAAATTGAGATAAAGTGGGAACTATTGCCAGGGAAAGAGCTGGTAGTCTTTCACTAACCTAAAGCCTTCTATCTTAGGGACTTAAGACGTGTCCATTGCTTTTAAGCTATAATAATTTAATCTTGTGAGAGGTTCTTGACATGATTTGAGAAGATTGATGTGAATTTTGCTTCGTGAGATATTAGAAGCAAGAAAAAAGAAGAGGAATTAGTGTGTGTGTTTTACATATTGCCCTTTTGCTTTAGTAATACCCTGTGGTCCATCTGGTCATTGTATGAGGAAATGTTTCTATATATATTTGACCTTCTTACTATCCGGAGAGCTGAATTTGTCGGGGTGAAGACTTATATATAATCAAAACAATGTCATAACAGGCAGCAGTGTCGCTCATAAGTTTTGAAGTCACTCTTATGGGCTAGTACCACATTTTGCATTTTCATTTTTGTATGGTGACAATTGAATGAATTCTACTTATAACATTGCCTTGCTCGTTCATACTAACGATGCTTAGTTCATTTTCTTGACTGTAGGGTGAGTTGGCCAAACACACGAGGGACTACTAATCCTTCGACAATGATATTTAGTATTCAACAACGATGCCTCAAAACAGTTTCCTAGTTCGATGTAGCCTGTATGTAACTCTTGTTGGTCTGTATGTATGATGTTCAACTAGCAGCTACAGTTAGGCTCGGGCAATAGCCCTGTGCCCGGGCTTCGTTTTAAAGTTGGTACTTTGAGGTCTGCTTTATATGCCTCAAGTTTAGGTTCTGAAATTGTTAATTTGGCATGCTTTTCATATCCATTTGGTTTTCACTTTTCAATTATCTTAATAACTGTTTTTAAATGAAGTTTTCAAATATAATTGGAGGTTCGATTAAAAGTGATTCAAAAATATTGCCATGTGGTTTGGTAGAAACAAAAATTTCTGCTAAGCACTCTTGCACTAAGTTCTCACTATGTAGGGGTTTGAGGAAGGGTCGGATCACAAAGGTGTATTGTATTTAACTTTGTTTGACATATTTATAAGAGCACAATTTGAATTCGAGACTTTTTTATCATATGATAATAATTATATTTATTATGTTAAGTTCCCCTTCTATGTAGATATGTGGGATGATGTATGAGAATATTGTCCCAACGTTTATATGGGATAATGATCTCATCATTTTAAATAAATGACAATAAAATAATTTTGGGACTAATTAAAAAATATGATCAAATTCTATCCCAAAAAGTATTATATATTCTTATCCCACGTACCAGACTGTCCTAGTGTTGTAAAGTGAGGATGGTATAAAAATTATATTATCTCGAATTATATTTGAATATACAGAGTAAATACAGAAATTAAATGCAATTTTAAGTTTCAAATATAAAATAATTGGTACTCTTAAAATAGGGAACATATTTGATTAAAAAATAAATAAAAACATAAGAATAATTATTGAGGAAAAAATAAATAAAAGGAGGTATTTTAGAATACCTCAATTTTTTTTCTATATTCTTTTTCTTATATCAGAGTTGAACTCGTGACCTAGTGGTGTGGAGAAAACTCCCTCAACCACTGTGAACAAGAGTGACTGATATCCTTTATTAAACAAGCAAAATTATTTATAGCTTAATAACTACTAATATATAAAATGGGCCAAACAAACGTGTTTACAATGGCCCATGATCATTGAAAATAGGGAAAACTACATAATTAGACATACTTTACTACCATATATACATATTTTATCTATAGTTTAAAAATATTACTCATAATATCACTTTTAATAATTATACCATATATTATAAAAGTTAAATCAGATACACAAATCTCTTAAATATGGTATTGAATAATTATCTTAAAATTTAAATTCCTTAATTAAAGAGACATTAACAAATTAACCTCGCTGAATCTCCTCCGCCAACAATAACTCTCCCCCACCTCCAACGTCCTCCACCATATTTTCTCTCTTCCTTCATCCTCTCAACTCATAATTTCTTTAGAATATCTATCAAAAATGATTTTTTTTCATTAGCAAATATCTTTCTCTCTCATCCACCTCCCCCAATTTCGTCCGCCAACAATATCTCCCTCCCACCCCACGTTAAATTTGCACATCCCTCTCTAAAATTAAACAGGAAAATAAAATGAAGATGGTAGTAAAAATGGAGAAAAGAAAGAAAGAAGACAAATTATAAGTAGTATGGTTTGCAGCAGGAGTGGCTGTTTTAACCTTTTCATATGAAAAATAGTATGAAAAAGTTTTTTAATGAGATGGCAAGTCGTATGTTTCATTCAATTTATCTGAGATGATTATGTCATGTATCTAGTCAGAATATTTTATGTATCTTGTTTATTTATTAAATGTATATGTATTTTCTATTAAATATATATGAAATGTTTTCTGTCATGTATATGAGCATGTTATTCTATATATATGAGATTTTTCTGTCTTGATCTAGTGTGTTTTCTTTTGTGTATCTGAGACGGTTCTGTCATATATCTGGTCATACTTCAACAAGATTGTTGTAGATTACATTTTTATGAAATTACGGCAATCACAAATTTATTGGATACATATCAGATACATAAACAAATTTCAAATACATGTATCTCTTATATGTTACATGTAACTGGTACATAATTAATACATCTAAGTCACTAAGTATGTATCAGATACAGCTAATGAAACGTATCTAAGGAAATTAGATGCATGAATCAGATACATACTTCAAATACATTAGTAAAAGACATGTATCCTGATTCAATTAATTAATGATTTTGATTTATATAATATTTTCAAATCAAGGTCTCTATTTAGTTCAAAAACAACAATATACTTTTATCAGATTATACAACGACGTAACAATCAACTAGAGTGCGAGAAATATGTTGTTCTCTAAACATGAAAATTGAAAATAAAAAATATCAAAATTCAAAGAAACAAATTCAAAATTTTGAAAATAATTTTTTTTCACTTTTTTGTTGCTAAATAATAAATGGAAGAAATTAAAATATTTTTGAATTTTTAGAAGTTATTAGACAAAATATATTTAAATTCTATTAGAGGAGTGATTTCCTCCTTAAATTAAGCATTTTAATTGGAGTCCTTAATTAAACATGTATCCTACTTTGTCAATTCCTCGGATACATGTATAATGTATTCGTCGAATTAAGATACATGTATCCAACCAACAAAATGTGATAGATGAAGTAATATTTGAAACTATCGTGAATACTTGTAATTATAACCTAAACTAGTGGGATTTATGTTGTAAGTCCAACATTGGGTGGGTTGTGTCTAGGCATAAAAAAGATCTCAAAAAGATATAGTTATAGTAAGGCTCTATAGCTATAATTTTGATAAGTGTAAATTTCATAAATGACATATATTATAGTACTATTTTCAAGCTATAGCAGTAGATTTAGACTTTCAAGCTATATCATTAAAATTTTCAGGTTATAACAAATTCACAAAAAAAAGAAATGTTTTTATTAATTGGAAAAAACTTAAAAAATAAATAAAAAGATAAACGAAAATTAAAAAAAAATGGAATTAGAAATAATAAAGTAAAAAACTGAAATTGTGGCCTGTAATTTAATTTGAACTTATTGTAGATAATTAATGATTAGCATGAACTTAGGATCCAAACAAATCAACAATATCTTTTATCCTTAATTCACTCAAAATCAGTTAAAATGAAATAAAAAATCAAATCATATCCTTTTTTTCTTCAACGTTTCTCTCTCTTAATTCTTCAGCCTAAAAAATTAGCAGAATCGAGTAATTGAAGGTTTTTTTCAATAATTAAATTTATTGAGATGGACAATTACGTATCAATTCTAATTAAACATTGTGGAAGATGGGATCCTTCGGGTTAGTATTTATTATTGTTTAGTGTTTGTTTTTAAATTATATTGAAATGATTTTTTTTTATTAAACTGTAAATCGTCTCTATGTTTAAGATGATATCATTACTTGTTAACTGTTGTGAAATGTATAATATTAGTGATTTTCTGTTTTTGTGATTGTTTTGTGTATTTTTTTTTCTTAAAATATAAAGTAATTGTATATTTATGAATGAATTTAATAGAATTATTGGAAAGAAATTTGTAAGAAAATGTGTTTCGTAAGATGTAAAAGAAGTTATTTGGATTTTTGACGAATTGTATAACAAGTGTTTTAAGTTGGTATTAAATTATAAATTTTAGTGTGTTATATTAGATGTTGTCATTTATGAAGAAATTAGTGAGTTAGAAATGAATTATTTGGTATAATAAGATATAGATATTTGTAATGTATGATTATTTGTTGTATGAAATGTGTATTAAGTGAGTTTGAAAGTTGTTATGAAATAAGCTGTCTTAATGATATATGTATGAAATTTGTATGAAAGCGTGTCCAGTTATCTGAAAAAAAAAGTTATTTGAAATTTTGACGAATTGTATGATAAGTGTTTTAAGGTTGTATTAATTTTGAAATTTTATTGTTGACATTTTTGTATAAATTTGTGTGACATTAATGAAGTATTTTCGTAAAAAAATGTACATATTTGCTGTATGAAAGTTGTATTAAAATAGTATGAAAGTGTTTGGAATGTACTATTTGAATGATATTTGTATGAAATGTTTTTTAATTGAATATAAAAATTGTTTTGTAATGTTCTGTCTGTCTAAATGATATTTGTATTTCGAATTGTTTGTTTATAATGTGAGACTAATTTGTATTTTTTTTTTTAATGAAACATGAAATTATGTTGATTTTCAAATGGAGGGGGTTATATACAATTCTTCTAGTCTTTATAGTGGTCTAGTAAGTGCGATAACATCACATCTTATGATAGATACTAATATAAATGATTTAGAGATAAAATATCTAGTAAATGATAGATGTCCACCTGTTAGAATCCACAATGATGTTGGTGTGCGGGTTTTTTTAGATCAAAAGAAAGTTAATTTAGATTTCTTTACTAAATATCCATTGTGAAGTCCACATTTAAGACCAGTTGCTGCTGAAAATTCCTTGTTTTCAAATCGTAATTCTGTACTATTTATTTTAATAACAAACATGTCGTCTCAGACATTTTCTTTTTCAAGAATCATCAAATGCCGCAGTAGTTGACATTGAATCTTTATATGGTGCATAAACCAAAAGGTGTTTGATCGAGAAATTGTTGAAATTGTTGGTACATGAAGACCAGTGTGTGTGTCTCTTCCTTTCCTATAAAATAAAATTGTGTATACTACATTAAAAGATACTTCATACACATATTATTCAGTTTCATACAAAAATATCATTTTCATACACATATTATTCAGTTACAATACACAAATCTTACATAACTTAATAGTTTCACATTTCATACACATTTCACACACATAGAATTCAATTTTCATTCCAGCAGTAACCATAGTTCACATTTCACACACACTTCATATACAATATGTATAAAGAAATGACATAAATTATATTCACATTTCACACACACAACATACACATATTATTCACACACACAACATACACAATTTTCTTTCTAGCCATAACCATAGTTCACATTTCATACACAATATTTATAAAAAAAATATGACATACATTATATTCACATTTCACACACACTGCATACACATTATTCACACACACTTCATACACTTATTATTCAAAAAATTCCAGGAGTACCTATACAATACAGAGTAGTTAAATAAGATCATAAAATTTGAAAACAAAAATAATAATTCATATGCATATCAATATTGTATCATAATTCATACAAAATACATCATTTAAAATTTATAATCAAATGCATAAACATTTTATTCAGATTTGAAACAAAT